CAACATATCAACTTGCGCAAGTAATTGATAACAAAATAGGGCAAGTTATTAATAAACGGATTAACTAATTAAAAGCTTTTACCAACAAGGTATATCTTTCCTAATACCATAATATGAGTATAAAATTAAAGAATAATAAATAGTTTTGATTTTGATATATTGTAAATCTATAGAAATATATAACACAATCCCATAGAAAGCTGCAAAGAAAATGTAATAAAATTTTAAATATAATCCATAAGTAATATAAAATAAGAAGAACAGTTATGAATTAAAAATATCCCATAGAAACCTGCAAAAAATTGTCAAATTTTGTTAGCAACTGTACAATATAAAATAATTTAATAGATTTCTAAATTTTATTGAGACGAAAATAATATTAGTAGATTTACAATATAAAATAATTTAATATGTTTCAACATAAAACGATATGTTGAAATAATAATTATATAAAATTATGCATTTAAACTTATATTTAATTATATATATATATATATATATATATATCTATTTGTATAAAAGTCAGAGCGGATTGGATATCTATTTCTAAATTTTTAATATTTATGATTTGTTTCATTTTTATTGAATTTTAATATTTGCTTTGTTTCGATAGCTTAGGGATATCCAGATTTTCAAATCGAATCGAAACGAATAATAAAAAATAAAATTTAACGGATAAAATGGCCTAGCTGCTGACCTTGCAGGGATAAGTTGTACATTGGACTCATCTGCAGGTTCCATGCAGTTGCACTTTCAGTCTGCAAGCAATGTTATTTATACTCAACAACTATATCAATGAAAGGATACAACATAATTATTTTAACATTTAACTCTGTTTGAGTCCTCTGTTTCTTACAAAGACAATTTTTAAATTTTAATAGGAGTTCCACAAGACCCTCTAACCAACATAGAGGCTTTCTTCATTTTGAAATTTTTGTTCCGGTATTACCATATGTGTGAATCCCATTATAAAATCCGTAAACCAAAAATTCAACAATGAGTTCCCAAAATTTCAACTTGAGTAAACAAGCTCTCTCTCACTCACTCACTCGTCATCAGTGCCAAAATAGCGGTCTCCAAACTCGCCCATGCCAGGTACAACTCTGAACTTGTCGTTTAAACCCATCTCTATCTCAGATGTCACAATCTTTATCCTCGGAAACCTTTTGCACACCACATTTACTCCTTGNAAGTTGGTTTTTGGGGTTCATGTTTTGGCAACTTACAGATATGAGATTGAGAAATATGATGTTGGATTCAGGTACTCCTTTACTTATCAGGAGCCTTATCGCTTGCACCGCCGAGTTTCCTGCCCACACACAAACAATACACATGTTCTTGTCCTATCTTGTCTTATGCAGAGGTAGTTAAGAGCAGAACAAATCATACATGTCCCGAGGATAGGGTCCAGCAAAAGCACGTGCCTTTCCGAAATGTCTGAGGGTAGCTTCACGTATCTAAGCTGTTCGTTTCCCAATTTGTTCACACATATTATTAAAAGGACAATTGATTGATAAAGAGGCCAAAGAACACAAACCTGCTGATCGTTTTCGCCTTCTCTGTGAATCAGAATCTTCCCAAGCTTGATGCCTTTGCAACATGCTCTCAAAGCATTCTCCATACTCTCACCGCTGTTTCATATTTGGTAAAAGAGTTTCAATCATTTAATTATTTATATTTGTGCTGGTTTCTTTTTACCTTCTGATAACTGAGACACCACACAGCCTCTTACAGAAGTCCACACCCGAATACACAGATCCTAAAGTTTACACAGAAACAATCAGACTATAATCTTTACTCTAATTTGATACTTCTTCTGAATAAGTGTTTCATTAAAGATTGCCTGTGGGAGTGATCACTTGCTTTTCTGTAAAAGGAAGGTGCCCGAGGCCGTGCTCAACAACCTGGCAATAAAACATCATTAATTATAACGAACATGGTAAAATAACATAACTCTAGTTTTACACCCTACCAAACGAATCAAACGATCCGAGTAGAAGATGAAGTCATGCTTTGTTGTTTTGGAGTCTCTGATTAGAGTATGCATCCCACGTATCTGCAATCAACGGCTAAAGGAATCAGCCTTTTTGTGTCACTTAACAGAAAAAAAAAGGAAAGGAAATAAGTAAGAACCTGAAAAGTTGATTGAATGACGTAAAGATTAGGATATATTTTTCAGAGATCAAGTTGACCAAGCTTAGTACAAATGTGTTGCACAATCAAATCAATAGCAACATGATTATCACCACCACGTGGGATTATTATATCTGCGTACTTCTTTGTTGGGAGTATGAAATCCTCAAATGCTGGCTTCACAAACTTTGAGTACTGTTGTGTTACAAACAAAGAAATAGTTCAAAACAAGAGTTGTATGCAGCCAGGAAAGCTCAAACATTTGAAGTAAAGTTCTGACCTGGTCAAGAACAGTCGCTATATCTCTGCCTTTCTCAACAGTATCGCGTTTAATCCTTCTCGCTAAACATATATCTCTGCCTTTACATTAGGACATCGTTAATATATATTGTCAATCTTTCCTAATGGTATGAGATTGACATCTTTGGCATTTAATTTCCAACTTCTTTCGCAAGTTATCGAATAACCGAGTAAGGCAAGTAAATAACCTAACAAAATATTTGAGATACGATTCTCATACCATTTGCACGACGAACCAAAAATAAATAAAAACGAAAATTAAAATAAATCAACCAATCAGATTCTCAGAATTTCTCTGAGAAGGCCTGTATGAGTGCCACGTGTCCAAGTGACTTCTCTTTTAATGTATAGGGGGATTTTAAAATTGTTGGTGAAGATACATCCAATTAAAATGACTTCTATTTTCTAAAATAGAAGAACATCAAATATGGTTAGTTACCTATCAATGGAATTTTGATTATTTTATACTCCCTCCGTTTCAGAATATATGTCATTCTAGGCTTATTTTTTGTCACAAATTAAGTGTCGTTTTAAAGTTTCGAGACAAAATTGATTAATTTTATATAATATTCTATTTTTCTATTGGTTGAAAAGTGGTTAGGTGTATAGGTAATTGTGTTTTTATCTTGAAAATATGTAAAATTAAATATTTCCTTAATCTGTGTGCAAAAACCTAGAATGACAAATAAAGTGAAACAGATGGAGTATATGTTTCAATTGATTTCTTACCAATTAACATAAATGCGCTAACATAAATGCGCTACATAAATGCAATTAAAATTAATGTACTAATATTAATAAAAAATGCAAAAATCAACTGATTCTGAATTTAATATATTAGAAATAATTAAATATTAAATATTAAATATGTTAAGTGTATATAAAATTTAATTTTTCATATGTTTTGATCATATAAAAATCCACAAATATTATAGCGAATGCCTAAAAATAGCTATTAATACAAAATTAAAAACTCAAGACATACTAAACATAATATATTATAAACAATTAAAGATTAAATAGGTTAGGAAAAAAATTATACTTATAGTTTTTGCCGGAAACATAGCCGGACCTTTACGATATTTTAGTAACCAATTAACTTATATGCACTAACTATTAAATTTTATTTATTATATTAAGAATATTTGACATTAATTACATAGTATTAACTCCCTATATCTAAACATTAACTCTGCATATTTTTGTCTCATTAGTTTTTCGTAATTAAACTGGAAAACATGATCAACTTGGGATTCTATACAATTATATTATCAATCAGAAGATATGTAATTAGCGCAAAATATACTAACAATTTATGGTGATAAATTTGCATCCAAAATACTATATATATGGAGTCAATACTATGCCTACAACTCCATCACAAACCAAGCAATTTAAAAGTATCATTCAAAATGCAAGGGTTGAACTCATCTCTGATTTAAACCAATGAAGTCGCTATGAAAGATTAAGGTGAAAGTCATTCAACTTTGGAAGCAATACTCGGCTGTTGGTGGAGAGACCATAGAAATGGTTTTTGTACTGTAATGAGATTTGAAGACAATAATCACATTATTTGGTGTTTTATTTTTCTATTACTTATGTTTCTTTAATTATTATCATCAAAAATTTCTTATGAATGCAATAATTTTATTACCTATTTTTGTTTTTTCTTAAATTTATAATAAATTTAAAGAAATGTTTACTTACTTTTATAGTTTTTTTTATATAATATATTTCAATGCACATATCTAACTACACAAACTTTTTTCATATAAAAATCAAATAAGCTTACATTATAAAAACTTCCACACTGTAGTAAGATATATTATTATATCTAATATTACTTTCTAATATATGTATATATATATATATATATTACGTAATAATTTTTTTAATTTACTCACTTCGCGCATGGCGCGAGTTATCATCTAGTATCTATATTTATATAACAAAGAAACAGTTTTATACGTTTATGTGTTTTGATTACTTTAGAAACCACATTGGTTGACAATTTATGAGAGACAGAATCATACAAATCATCACTATTACATAAAAACAAATGGGAAATAAAACAGAGAGTTATCTTAAAACGCAAGAGCCCAAACGGGAAAGACGACGAGAGCAATGATCCCAAGTGTGTTGGAAATGCCATGAGCTTTTGTGAATGCGTTTCTAAATCCACCTGAAGCTCTAATATGTTCTTGAAGCAAGTAACATCCGATCAATAAGCATATGACTAAACCAACCCAGTTGTCTCTGAAAGTGCCGGCGATTAGTCCTGGAGCCACCACGATGAGTAGAATCAGAGCAGCCGGTAATTCAAACCATTCTTATGAACGACAACAACAACAACAACAACAGAGATAGCCAATCAGCAAGGAACAAAATTCATGTTTTTTATAGTGGAGAGTGTGAAGACAAACCTCGGAAGTGTTTAGGGAAGAAGAGTTGTACAACAACAGCTACAAACGCGATCCATTTGCCAACATCCCCTCTGTCAAATTTAAGACACGAGTTAGAAAAATGGTCTCTGTCTGAATCACCTTTCTTTTTGTTAGTTTTACCTGAAAAGGCCAAAGATCACAGAAGGAAGACTGAAGAAAATGTAAGGAATCAAAAGTGATGTGAGCATATTCGTTTTCCAATTAGTTCGATCCAAGACCAACAAGTATCTGCAAAAACAAGATAAACATATAGAAAAGGAGTAAGAAAGAGAAGATTGAGAACGAGAGAGAAGAGAAAGATTACATGGCGGCGATTGAAGCAATCCATTCGAGGATAGAAGTACCAAAGCCTAAACCAGTGAGCATGAAGGTGTGATTAACGAGATTCTTAGCAGCGGTAGCGAGCTCGTTGAGATCGGATCCGACCACAGCTTGAAGAGTTCCATGGTTTCTCCTAATTGCTGTGAAAGTCATCTCTTGCAAGAGATTACAGTGGAACAAGGAAGAGAAAAGGTTAGAGCTTTGAAAAATCAGGATGGCGACGAATGTTGCGAAAGACTCGTGATTAATGTAAGAAACATATAGAGGTGAATAGACGAATGTGTCTCTGCCACGTGAGAATTCTAATTATTATAAATGTAGAATATAGTTTTACTAAACCATTTGATCACCGACGAAGAAGGGTGAACAGGTGTCAAGTGAAGCTCCTCACACCTGGATTAGTCACGTCCAACTCTCATTTAACTGACATGTAGTTGTATTGTCTTAACAGTAACGACTATACAAACCAAAGAAGCATGTGCTTCTGGTTCTATTCAAAATAAGTATTAATTCGGTCTCATTATGAAAATATTTTTATAGTATAGATGGTTTATTGTTAGGATTTATATGTTTGAGGTGCTGAGTTCGAGTATAGTCATTTACATTTTCAAAATTTTATGTGTTACCAACCCAAAATGTTTTTGTTTTTAGCCCAATTTATTTCAGGACTGGATCTGTTCCCAAATATAAAATTCAGATATTCTTACAAAACTGTACTAAAACAAATATGAAACGTTCAATATCAAATCACCAAGTCTTAAATAAAATAACTTAAAAATTGATCAAAAAAAGAAAAAAATAAAAAATAAAATAAAATAACTTAAAAGATAATCTAATCATCTGAAAACCAGTACCACATTGAGACGATTACTCTTGCACATCATTAAACTCACATGAAAAGAGAGGAGCAATGACCATTTCAACAGATACTTAGTGAGGGAAACTCTTAAGGCCTCTGAAATCAATCACTAACAATCATCACACAACATAGCATAAGTATCTAACTTAATATCCAGTAAAGACAAACCTAATCAACAAGAAACGAAGATAAACCCCGACGATGCAAACATGAGACCACACCACCTTGTTCGATCCCCGCATTCTTCATGTTGCGGCGTGAGAACTCATATAACATTGTCTCCACGACATCACGTTATATCCACGCCTTCATGTAATCAAGTTACCGACTTCGGTTCACGCTTGATTTGCCACCATGTTTGTACGTTTCTGTCTCCACGACATCACGCTACTAAGTTCTTACTTCATACACATGCACGCCGAATGTCCGCTCCAGAGATGAATCATGCCGACTCACGCGATTGTCACATGATCCAACAAAACACGATGCAACGTCCGAGACTTACACACTTCCACCACGTTGCACTAATACACATAGGCCTTACGCCTTTCTCTAACTCATATAGAGCTCCCACATATACATCACCCACCTATACCATAACCCCAGTCAATATAATCATCACATAGAATCCTCTAACATCATTTAACCATGTTTTAACAATTTAGCAATAGATCTATGCTTTTCACACATCAAGCATCAAGATATATATATCATATATATATATATAGATATATATGTAAAACAATAAAAAAAATAGAGATGAATTATCAACCTAGAAACATCTACCATGATGAGATAATAATAGAAGAAGAGAGAGACTGCAACAAGGCCTCACCCTAACTTAGATATGCGAGACGAGATAAAAAATGGTGTAGATCTGCGTTCAGCGGCTCTTTAAGAACCAGATCTACAAGTACAAGGGTTATTTTCCACCCAATCTCTAGATCAGAGATGTAGAAGAAGAAAGAGATAGGAGAGAATCAAGAGAGAGAGAGTTTAGGGTTTCCTTACCTTTACTAGTTTCTGGATCTAGAAGGAAAAGAGAAGAAGACCCAAGGAAACGAAGAGAAGGGACTGAAACACAGTGTTATCTTCTCTTTGGTGAGACTACACAGTGGCTGATGGTTCCCGGCATTTCTCCTTCTCTAACGGCGGCTCTTGGGCAGGACTCCGCTGCGTTTTGTCTTTCAGGAGAAAACCTAAAGGAATGACTCCTTTTTATAGGAGATCATGAAGGGGAAAATCCTAGGGTTTTCTCTACATGGACCATAATATTATGGGCCTCCTCATTAATCATTGGGTCCGAGCCCGGGATGTAACAACTCTCCCCCACTAAACAAGAATTTGTCCCCGAATTCACGTCAACATCCAGTGGCACCTCAACACACGGAAATAACTCTGGGTAAAACGATCTCATTTGTGACTCTGGTTTCCAAGTATCCTCACAGATTCCCTCTCATTTTCAACACACGGATCATCTTTGTCCTTTTCCCTTGGATATCCATGTCTTTTGTCTCGGAAACTTCAACTGGTTTACTTTGAGCCATTAGATTGCGACTAACATCTTTTGGTGGCTGTTGGAGAATTAACATTATGTCTTGGACTACTTTTCTTAGAACTGACACATAAAAACGTTGTGAATATCTGAAAACTCCTGTGGTAACTCAATTCGGTACGTTACTGCTCCAATCCTCTCAATGATGCGGTATGGTCATAAAAACCTTGGCTTCAACTTTTCTAAGTTTCGGTACTCAACTGTCCCACGGTAGGTTCTCATTTTTAAGTGAATCAATTGCTCATATACTCCTGCCCGGAAAAAAAAATTATGTGATACTCCTGCCCAAAGCTGCCCAAAATCAAAAATAGATAAATCTTTAATTAAATCGGGAAAGATATTAAATAACCATGGAACCAACATAAATTTGCATAATTACAACCCAACCAAGAGCATTTCGCGGACCATCCAGACCCAATCTATAAAATTCGGATCTCTTTCTTCATAACCTCTGAAAACTTTGTACGACTTGGTGTAATTGTAAATCTTGGTGTTACTGTACAGCGTATAAGACTTTGACTAATATAGATTGTATCAATTACAAAGTTATTCGAAATTGAACTAAGTCACACTTTTTGATTTACAAAGTTCGACTAGTTTTGATTGTATCTTTTACATATGCATTATGTTCTTTTATGGAGACAGTGTTGTTAATGATATATTTATTGAAGTTAAAATAAATAAAGATTACTTTATAGAGAAAAACTAGAGACATTGTATTATATAAAATGTATTTTACATAAACTTAGTAAAATTAGATAAAAAGTACATGCCATAACTCATAAACACACTACTAATCTTCAATTGGCCAGTGGGCAGCGGTCAAGTGAATATCATTGCAGAAGTCTCAAGCTGCACATTGCCAGAAACAACGATCACATCTCCACCGTTTTTTAGATCCATCTAAGGAGACTACAAACACCGGTTCTATTACTGCAGAGCCCCAACAATCATGTGAGACGTTGGGATCTATTTTTTCCAATAGATACATAAAGACCTCAGGTTTTTCATAATCCCAATGGCCTGAAAATACCGAAGTCGTGATAATGTAATTCATCCGATCAACAAATTCGCGACTAAAGCTAGGATAGTTGTGAACCAATCCTCTATCATCAACACTAAACGCTAAGTTCAGAATTCCATCTACATACTTGGCCAACAACAATCCTCACTCACCAGCAAGATAAATGTTTTCCCTTCCTACATCAAGTAAATGGAGAACGAAGAACTCATACATAGCTCACATGTAGATGGCCTCTAGATTACCGGATTGGTAGCACATAAGTCTGAATGTCCTAACAGCATTAGCCTCATCAATCCAGTCATTCAAGTTAAAGAGATCAGCATATCGTTAGAAGTATTCTTCTCTGTCAATTTCATTGAACCCGGAGAAAGCAACTCTTGCACTACCATAGTCCCGGTGATGGCTTGTTGCTACCTTTGAGAGACTCTTATGAAGCATGGAAGGAGGGATAGAATCCAAGTTAAAGTTTGACATGGAGAGATATTTGTTTAACCGAGTAAATGGAGAGATTTTCGTTTTATTTATTTGGACAAGGTGAAAAACCCTTTTTATAATGGGGATGATTCTCTAACCAAAATACAAGTAATAAGGAACTTCAACTGACGTTAAGAGATAAGTATAAACTGAGTATTTATTACCCCACTTAAGGGTGATTTGGTAGACGCCTCGAGAACACATGAGTTTAGAAGACACGACTTCTCAGTGCAACAACAAGTGCATGGGTTGGATTTGAAACTTTGAAAAACTCTAATCGATAAAAATATATAACTATGTATAAGTAAGTGAAAATAAGTGATTTAGATTGTTTAAATTCATGAAACTAAGCACAATTTTAACAATTTAGATTGTCTGAATATATGAAACTATGTAAATGATATACCATGATTTTGACCCACTTTTAGTCATGGTATTGATGTTTTTTATGATAATTATATATGTTTTGGAGTCTATTTAGAGTATTTACAAGTTCAGGTACGTCCTGGAGAAATATGGTGATTTAGGTGTCTTTGGAGCCTTAAAGTTCAGAACTGCGCAGACGCGTCAGATGTTTATATATGGATGGAGACCTTACCATGGTGCGATTTAGCCCATCTTTTGCCACAAGATAGATCTTTGAGTTATCTTTCCAATGTCACCGGTTTGAGGTCAATCCAACGGTTAGATCCGAAGTTATGCCCGTTTTACTGAATAGTGGTCAGTCTGCCTCGCGAGAGAAGGCTGTCGAGAAGATATGTGCATGTCGATCCATGGGAGACACCTCATATCGGTCGATATGAATGCCAGAACGTGGGCTGACTATATTTCATAACCGACTGAAGCCCACAAGTTACCATAATACCCTTGGACGACCAGAAACCCTAGTTATGATATTTATAAGCCATTGTTGACGGCTACAAGCTATCTAAGCTTTTCTAAGTTCTTTTCTATTGTTTCTCTTAGTTAGGAGAGAAGGGAGGAACTCTTATCAGAGTTCTCCTGGAACTCCATTGGTTTTATTATCTATTCTATTTCAGTTTTACATCTATTCATCTATGATTTCTGTGACAATCTTCATGTCTGAATAGATCCACCTGTTGGATTTAGGGTTCAGATAGGTTGTGGGATTAGCCCCAACTATAGATTTCTAAGTTGTGATATTCATTGTTAGGATGTTCTTAATGCTTGTTTCTAGAGTCATGAACTAGAACCATGAACTGGAATAGTTTAATTTATTAATCTTCATCCTGACATCATCCTCTACAAACTCAGACTCTATTAGGCACGATGCGACAGCCGGTCTAATAGAAATTTTCGAGTGAACACAGTTTCAATTCGATCTGATGCTATATATCGATCGATGCACTTATCGAGTCATCGATCGACGGCAACACATATTGACCGACACTGCGATAGCAACATCGGTCGATACTGTCGGCATTCAGATCAATAGACGAGTCTAACTAGCGACAGCTATAGATTTGTCTAAGAATTGAAGTTCTTATATATCATGCATGCAACTTGTTAGGCATCTATAGCATTATAATCCTGATTACCTGAATAGAAACCCTAGATCTAGCAACCATCCTTCCATCCAACAACTCCTTGCCAAGCTGAACAATTAGTCTTGTTCAACTTGTTTATTACTTTATTTATTTACTGCATAATTACCTATTAGCCTAGCTTAATCTTATAACCATTAGATCTATTAGGTTCCCTAGCTCCCCGTTAATTCGATCCCTAAGTACTACAATTGAACCTCTTATTTGAGAGAGTAATTCACTCCTTAGGATAATTTGAGTGATATCAAATTTGGCGCCGTTGCCGGGGAGCTTTGATCGCCATTAGATCTTGTTTAGTTAGATTTAGTCTAGGTTTTGTTATTTTTTCTAAAATACTGATAATTTTTTTTCTTATTTTTCAGGTATATACATCTCAGTACCAGGAACAATGAAGAGAGGATTTCTAGTTCCTTCAAGGAAGGAGCCTGCTGGTACACGCTTATCGATCGACACCCTCCAAACAGAATCGATCGACAGCGTATACCAGACATCGATCGATAAGGAACACCATCAATCGATCGATAAGCTACAAGCAGCAATGATCAATAGAGCCAACCAACCTACAAACAACATTGTTCGACCAAACACTGTTCATCCGGCTACTGTTCATCGCGCTACTGTTCACCCGATATCGATCGACAGCATTCATCCGATGTCGATCGATACTGTTCACCACAAGTGGATCGACACTCATAGTCGAACATCGATCGACGAAGCCTCGCTGGGAGCAGGTAAGTTTTCTATTAACACATCTATTAATCAGGAAGTAGTTCAAATTGGACCAATAGGTGAAATAAGCAATGCAATTAGCCAAAATAAGAATAAACATGGGACGAAAATCCCTGTTACAATCCATTCCACCTTGAATAAAGGTGAAGAAATAAAATTGCCTTTGCAAAACTACAAAACCCCTGTTCCCCTGAAATCGATCGACACGGCTCACAACGCGTCGACCGATACTACCCACCCGAAATCGATCGACACGGTGCATTCCGTGTTGACTGATACTGATATCCTGAAATTGATCGACATGCCTAACACCGCGTCGACCGATACTGTCCATCCCCCGTCGATCGACACTATTCATCTCCCGTCGATCGACACTTCCCACCCGAAATCGATCGATATGGCTCACCCCGCGTCGACCGATACTATTCTTCCAAGATCGACCGACACTGTTGGCGGACGGGAAGAAAATTTTGACTCCGAGCTGAAACTTCAGTACATCCCTCTTATGGGTCAGCGTCTCTTTCATGGTTATCTTGACGAGCAACCGATAGATCATACTGATATGTTTGAAGACCTAATCTGGTCTCTCTTTGATAAAGCCACTGAAGACTACCACCTCTGCAAACTCTTTCCTTTCACTCTTGCTGGAGAAGCAAGACGTTGGTTCAAAGAGTTGCCACCAGAGTCCCTCAAAACATGGATTGATATCGCGGAAGCCTTCTTGAACAGATTTCTCTTTGACACTCCACACAAACTAAAGATTGAGTCAACAACGAGATATGTGGTGGAGGATGATGAACCAGAAAACAATACTGGTGATATGACGCCTGCATCGGTTGACACCATAACTTCTACATCGACCGATGCCACGATCTTTCTATCGAACGATATCATTCACCCATCAGCGACCGATGCCATGATTTCATCATCGGTCGACACTGATCACCGAGACCCTGCTCATCATGGTACTCTTCATCCGACGACCGACACCACTAGCATGGAGACAGAGAAGGACAAAGGGCTCATACTCAAGATTGATAAGAAGGGTATCTGGCAAGACAAAGGAGGTCGTCCTTGCAACTTTAAAGGACAATTGATTAATGGAGAAGAAGCAATAATTCCTGATGTGATTTCTTTTCCAGAAATGGATACCTTTGATCTAAGTAGCCAGTGGTATGATTGGGTAAGTGAGGACCATTTCCAAGGTCTTCTTTATGAGGACCCCAGAGATCATATTAAGATACTTGAGGAAGTAGTCTCAGCAACCAAACATAAATTAATACCCGAAGACCACATTCTCTGCAAGCTCTTCCCCCATTCACTATCAAGAGATGCGTTTAGCTGGTTCAGTAAGCTGCAGCCAAAATCTCTAACCTGCTGGGAGGACATCAAAGACGCCTTCCTAGGTAAATTTTTCAGCACTTTTTCAGCAAATTTGGAGATTGAGATGAGTTCTATGCTGGAATATATGGTGGAAGATGAGGAACAAGATGAGTCTGGAGAACTGAGCAGAGTATAAGAAGCTGATATTAAAGATCCGACCCCCACATCGATCGACACCAGTTCCTTAGTATCGATCAACAGTACGAATGCATCATCGATCATCACCACCACCTCATCGATCGACATCAGCATCTAAGAATCGATCGATAAAGACTTTCGTCATCAATCGATACCACTTGAAATCCTTGAAAGTTCGAATTGTCCTCAGGACACTGCAGACTCGACACAGAAGAGCACTAATGTATCAAGTTCTTCTCCTTCCCTGGATGTAAACATAGAGAACGGAGAGGATCTTGGAGATTTGGATTCAAGTAAAGAAGTTACTTTAGAAGACTTCTTGGAGCTGA